GGGGCTTAGCATATCTTATTAATTAATGGCCCATGAGAGGTGGAACAGGATGGCTAGTGAAATGGCAAGCTAGCTGCAAGCTTGCTGACTTGAAAAGTTGGCGAAGTAAACCAACTAATCAACTAACTTTACTTGAATGTCTCACCTAACTTCATGGATCACCTTGGCTATTATATTGAAATATTTCAAGATTTTCCTTATTTTAACTAATCAACTAGACCTGAGCTTGGTTGTCATAAGGATGAGTTCAAGTAGTTGAGTTCATCTGAGGTTGTTTACCTCATCCAAGGTATTTCACCTCGGAATGGGTTGTGAGGATGAGCTCAAGTAGTTAAGCTCGGATTGAGCTCATCCGAGGATGTTTACCTCATCCAAGGTATTTCACCTCGGAATGGGTTGCCATGAGGATGAGTTCAACCAAGTTTTATGAACTTGTTTAAGTTTCTAAGTCAACACATGAAGTTCTTGTTGTTAAAGTCCAAGGCTGACCATATTATATGATAAGGGTATGATATATACACATATATATCTTAAGCTTAGTATCACAGTTAATAATTGTAACTAAAGTAAATTATGAAGCTGCACCTTTTAATCATAGGTTCATATTAGAAGTCATAATAGATGACTCTTCTCTCCCCTTACCCTTCACATTTGGGGCTGCTAAACATAAATGTTATAATCATAAATTACACTATTTGCATTTTTATGCTTGAACATGTCCAATAAACAAGGAGTCATGCATGTGGTAGTAAAAAGTCTTTCTAGCTTGTAAATATAAGAACAAAAATTGGACATGCAAAATAACTCATAAAAATCTTAAATGTGCAAAGTAATTTTGAAATTTCTAATATGTAACACTTACTTGACTTGCAAAGCAGAATTAATTTATACTTGAGAAAGAATTGTGCTTGATGAGGTAGAAACTCGAGAAAGAATTTAGCTTCTTACGAATGATGTTAACTCCTTTTTGTTGTGACAAATGTGGAGAGAAAAAATCTAGCCTCTCATAAATGATGCCAGAGAAGAAATTTACTTGATCATCTTCGTAGGCTATTGAGCTTTATGGTTAGGGTCCGTAGCCTTTTAAAATTGGATGGAGGAGTTGTTCATAGCTTGTATATAATTTTGATGGAGGAGCTCATCATAAAGGGATTTCTCTAGAACCCACCCCACATGGAGTCCCTGCACTTTTCCATCTCTAAAATAGCAACATATATTTATAATCATAAGTGCAAATGAGCAAAGTAGCATGATTATGATATATAAAAAATGAGATGGCAAAATGATATTATGAATGCAAAAACAAGTGCAGAATGAATGGAAAAATATGGAATGAATGTAAAGAATGTGGAAAGCAATTAATAATAAATTTTAATAAGATTGGACCAAGCTTGGACCAAAGTTCTAATTTGCTGCGGAGCTCAATTGCTTTCTTGACAACCTGTATCACAAGGACTTGAAAAGAGGAGAAATTAAAGCATCCAGTCTTATAATCAAGAAAATATATTGTGTAAAATAAATAAGAGAAAAAGATTGTGAGTTCATCTTTTTTAATTTTCAAAGCAATACATGACTAATGAATTAAATTTATATACATATTAATGTAGAATCTATGCCTTGATATTATTGATATTTGAATGAGTTGTATGAAAATTTACGTAATTGTATATAACATTCATTCTATATAGAAAAGGATTTAATTAGAAGAGGTCATAATTCTTAAGAATAAATTGCAAAGATATGAAATTTGAGGATTAAATTATGCAGAATCCAAAAGTAAGGGCTCGGGATTGTAATTTTTTACCGTTAACAAAATTTGCAGAGAAGGACAAAAACCCGACACGGACTCTTTAGGACAAATGCAGGAAAAGTGTCGGCACCTTGTTGAGGGTGTTGACACCTTGCAGCTCGTGCTGCATTTCTTTCAACTCATGCTCGTCCTTTGCAGAGGCGGAGCCAGAAATTTTTTTCAGGGGGGGCAAGATGCAAGAAATTTTTTTCAAGGGGGGCAAGATGCTAAAATTTTCAAAGTTCAAGAAAAGCTAAATAATTTTTCATATACTAATTTGTAAATTTTTCAAATTTCAGGGGGGGCGAGCGCCGCCCCTCGCACCCCCTGCCTCCGCCACTGGTCCTTTGCATCTCGTGTTCAAATTCTGCACTTCATGCTCGGCCTCTGCAGCTCGTGGCTGACCTTGGCAGTAAGTTTTTGACCTCTGCAGCTCGTGTTTGAGCTTTGCAGCTCATGCTCAACCCCTGCACTTTGTGCTCAACCTCTGCAGCTTGTGTTTGAGCTTTTTAGTTCATTCTCAACCCCTGCACTTCGTGCTCGACCTCTGCAGCTCGTGTTTGAGCCATGTAGCTTGTGTTTGAGCTCTGCAGTTCGTGGTTGAGCTATGTAGCTTGTGTTTGAGCTCTGCAGCTCGTGCTTGACAGCTTGTGCTATACAACTCGTGCTCAGCAGCTCAAAAGATCTTGCCCGAGTTCTGCATCGTGCTTGTGAGCTCGGCAACTCGTGCTTTTGAACTCAGTAGCTCGCAACTCATGTTCTTGCAGTTCGCTTCTCATGCTCCTGCAATTTCCAGCTCGTGTTGCAGCAGGGACTTTACAACTCGTTATTGTCAAATTTTCACGGGATAATAACTCCAAATGGCTTGCTCATTACAGCTCGTTATTCACAACTTTATTGGCAAATTTTTCAAGCCTCCAAATGGTTCGGTGATGCTACGTGGGCGGTTGAATGCCTCTGCTCTCAACTGAGCATGAGATGAGACTGCTGGCTTCTCAGAGCAGCATGTGTATTCCCAGTAGTGGTTTAACTGTCATCTTGAAGGGTGGTGTCCAGTACCTTCAGAGCTTCCATCTCTAACACTACCATCAGCGTTTTCTGTCATTGGAACCATAGTCTTTTGCTCCCTAACAGCTGATTTGAGGGATTTAATTTGTTACTGGCAAGCTGCCTAGTCAGGGACTTATCCCTTGGATTCTGCAAAAACAAATTCAAAATAGAGGAAGATTCCAACTTGCTTTACAATAAAAGAAAATAAAACAATATATAAGAAATATAGTGAAATAATAAAAGATTAAGATTATCTCCCTAATAATTACAAAGTGGTAACCAAACTCAAGTGGTTTATTGCCCAAGGAAGGTGCTTGTGGTTGGAACTCGCGTCTTCCCAGTGGTTTCATAGAGTGTTGTTAATTTGTTGCAAGTATGGGCTAACCATCATCATATTATGTTGATTGCTCGCGTCTTCTTCAACGAGCTTCATTACAAATTTGCTCGGTGCATGCCGCCGAGCTGAGAGACTGCTTTGCTGCTGTCGAGCTGGACTGCCTTGCTTCTGCTGAGCTGGAGTACTGCTGAGCTTTGCCGCTGCCGAGCTGGACTGTTTTGGTGCTGCGAGCTAGGCCGCTTTGTTGCTGTCGTGCTTGGCTGTTGTGCTGCTACCGAGCTGGGCTGCTTTGCTGCTACCGAGCTGGAGCATTGCTTTGAACTTTGCTGCTGCCAAGCTAGGCTGCTCTGCTGCTGCCAAGCTGGGCTGCTCTACTGCTGCCGAGCTGAACTGCCTCACTTCTGCCAAGCTGGAGCATTATTTTGTTGCTGCCGAGCTGTAAGAATGCTTCTCGTTGCCGAGTTGGGAGTTCTTCATGAGCTGAGGACAATTGTATTCGAGCAGCTCAGACTTTGATGACGAGGTCGGAGAGCTTAAAGGGTTGGTGGATGGTGCGGGTGGCGGCGAACCTCCAGCCTCCTCCATTGATTGAACTTTGTTGATCACGTCTCGTCTGAGCTGTGCTTGTTTCACTCCGGCTCTGTTATCCTACGCGGTGAACCTCCGGCCTCCTCCATTGATTGAACTGTGTTGACCACGGCGCCTCTGATGTAATTTACTTCACTCCGTCATCGCCACTAGGAGAGGAATCGTTGCTAATCTCTGGCATTTTTGCTTGGAATTGGTTCTGAATCTTCAGCATGGAAGAATTTAGGAGGGTCATTTGGCAGTCTGGACCACCTGAGTGTTTTGCTCTTCAGGCAGTTCAAGAAGTTATAAAACCTCAGAAACAAATAAAATTAGCATGGGATGAGATCAATTGCTGGAGAATATGCTTCGGACATTACTCCAGGAATTGGCATCATCAGCAGTTCAATCAGTAGAGGAAGTCATGCAGTATGGAAAGTCAATTGATGATGGAGAAAATATGCATGGTGTCATCCCATGCCTTCTGGACATTACTCCAGGAATTACCAACTGAATAGATGGGAAGTACATCCATGGTTGAAGAATAGAGGGGCACATAATTGCCATAGCCGAAACAGGAGGAGCTTGGAAGAAAAGGGATATATATATAT